CGTGAAGTTGTCGTTCTGACGTCCCTAAGGAAGTTGATACATGTACGTGTAGTTTTAATGCCAATCGACTGTTTTTGACATTATATTAACGATATCACATTTGTCGGACAAAAACCATGTGGCTTTGGGGAAGGTCCGACGCTCTGAACATGTGGCTGTGGCGTCCCCGAGGAAGTTGATACATGTACGTGTGGTTTTGATGCCAATCGACTGTTTTTTATGTTACATTATTGATATCACATATGTCGGACAAAAATCACGTGGCTTTGGGTGGATCCGACGCCCCCAACATGTCGCTGTGGCGCCCTTAAGGAAGTTGATACATGTATGTCCGACAAAAATAATTATGAGTAACAATGTAATTTTAAAACATGTGTAGTAAATGTCGGACAAAAAGAATGAGTATTAAAGTCAGTCGGACAACAAAAGTCCTTTTGATCAATTTCTGCCGAAATTCAGGATCTCTACTCCTGAGATCGCACAAAAAACACGACAGAATATCCATTCTTTTTCAAACGCGTGGTTTTCAACGACCGTTCACTAAATCATTCCCGTAAATACTCGGAGAATTATCCAAAAAAAACAGATCAGCGAATATGGCACAGGTCCCCACAGGTATTTGACAAAGTAGGTAAATAATAAATTGACTAATATGCACATTGCTTAAAGGCAAACTAATTTTAATTTTTTCATTGATTGTCTCAAATTTCTTGTCCGACAAATGTGATATCGGTAATGTAATGTAAAAAGCCGTTGATTGGTATTAAAAACACACGTACATGTATCAACTTCCTCAGGAACGCCACAGCGACATGTTGAGAGCGTCGGACCCCTCCGAAGCCACGTGATTTTTGTCCGACATATATGATATCGTTAATGTAATACAAAAAATAATCGATTGGCATTAAAACTACACGTACATGTACCAACTTCCTTAGGGACGCCACAGCGACATGTTGGGGGTGTCGGACCTTCCCCAAAGCCACATGGTTTTTGTCCGACAAATGTGATATCGTTAATATAATGTCAAAAACAGTCGATTGGCATTAAAACTACACGTACATGTATCAACTTCCTTAGGGACGTCAGAACGACAAGTTCACGAAGAGCTAGCGCGGCAATGTCCCATCGCCCAAGGTGGAGATATGAAAAATATTGTCCGACTTGGTGTTAGGAAGCCGCTCAGGAAGTTTGGCGTGTACATGAGTTACAAAGTTTTTAGGTCGATGTACTGGGGACTATAAGTTTGAATAGAGATTTTATAATTGAGTAATGCGTCCATACAGTTGAAGGTTTTATTTTTTGTTGTAATTTTTCAAAATATACTATCAGAACATTTTCTGAGAAGGACGATGTGTTTTTGGTGTTTCTCCAATCCATAAATTGTCCATATAATTTTTCGTAAATTTTCTTGGACTTGTCCGGTAGTATATTATTACCTGCATTTGTCGCCATTCATGTAATTTCTGGAGGTGTTAGTGAAAATTCTTCGTTATCACTCAATATTTCCACAATAATGCCTTCTCCCAAACTTTAGGTATTAACTTTTAATAACAATTTGAGGTATTTTTTTTATAAAATTATTGTTTTTCGCTAAATTACCATGGAAAAGCTATAAATAGAGTGCTGCCAACATTCAAAAAAAAAAAATCAATATTTTTAACTGATGGCGCCATCCATTGACAATGTATAATAATGAAAAAAGTAAAAATTCTTCCTTATCATTCATTATTTCCATAATAATTATTCTTCGTCCCAAACTTTAGGTAACTTTTAAACAATTCGGAGTCTTTCTTATAGTTATCAAAATAATTGTTTTACGCAAAATTACCGTTTAAAATGTTTAATATCTTAACTGGTGCTGCCATCTATCAACATTGTATAATATTAAAAATGAGTATTATAATGAAAATCTGTATCGTAATGAAGTTCATTATGATACAGATTTTAATCGTTTAATAGCGTATTATGAAATGTCAGTAGAAAATAGTATATTATGCAATGATCATGTAATGATAGCCATTAATACACGAGCATGTTGTAGGATACGAAACGAGCCGCAGGCGAGTTTCGTATATAACATGCGAGTGTATTAATGGCCATTACATGAGAGTTGCATACACTATTTTTTCTACTGCCATTGATAAAACTTATGATATTTAAATATGTCAACATTATGCTTAACTTTGAATAGAGATTTCATAATTGAGTAATCCATACAGTTGAAGGTTTAATTTTTTGTTGTAATTCTTCAAAATATACTATCAAAACATTTTCTGAGAAAGATTATGTGTTTTTGGTGTTTCCAATCTATAAATTGTCCATATAATTCTTTGTGAATTTTCTTGGACTTGTCCGGTAGTATATTATTACCTGCATTTGTCGCCCTTTCTGTAATTTCTGGAGGTGTTAGTGAAATTTCTTCGTTATCGCTCAATATTTCCATAATAATCCTTCTCCTAAACTTAAGGTATTAACTTTTAATAACAATTTGAGGTATTTTTGTTTATAAAATTATTGTTTTTCCTTAAATTACCATGGAAAACCTATAAACAGAGTGCTGCCAACATTAAAAAAAAAAAAATCAATTTTTTTTAACTGATGGCGCCATCTATTGACAATGTACAATAATGAAAAAAGTAAAAATTCTTCCTTATGATTTATTATTTCTATAATAATTATTCTTTGTCCCAAACTTTAGGTAACTTTTAAACAATTCGGAGTCTTTCTTATAGTTATCAAAATAATTGTTTTATGCAAAATTACCATTTAAAATGTTTAATATCTTAACTAGTGCTGCCATCTATCAACATTGTATAATATTAAAAATGAGTATTATAATGAAAATCTGTATCGTAATGAAGTTCATTATGATACAGATTTTAATCGTTTAATAGCGTATTATGAAATGTCAGTAGAAAAATGTTTTTAACTTTTAAGCCCAATTGTTCTTCTACAAGTTGAGATAATCTAGCACACTACTGCAGCTAGTAACTCAAGTTTTGGTATAGTAAGGGTTTTTAGTGGAACTACTCTAGTTTTTGAGAACACAAGAACAACGTCAACTCTATTTTCTGATACAATTCGAAGGTAACTTTCTAAAGCGTAAGCTTCTTCGCTAGTATCAAAGAAGGTATGGATTTCCAAATACTTTGTTTTTTGTAATGATTCTGACTAACATCTTGGAATTTCAATCAGCATAGAATTTTTAAGATTGTTTAACCAATTTTTACAGATAAGTACCATATTTGAACCAATGGTATCATCCCATCGAAGACCGCTTCTCCGAAACCAACTTTTGCGTGAATATCAATAACTTGCTGAATCTGGTTTACTGCACGTAGTGTTTGTAAATAATTGAATTTACTGCTTCTGGAAAAGTCTGCAAAATTTTTCTGCATTATAATTTTTGACAAATTGAGCCAAAAATGCTGCACATGTGATTCCGAAGAGGATTGCCTCCATTCTGTAAATTTTTGGCTTACCATTTTATCCTGGAATGCGCCACAAAAAAACATTGTGCAAAAAGAACCTTCATAAGCTGCTTACTCTATTAAACATTTCTTTAATGTCAGCAGTAAAGGCTATTTTATGAATTCGAAACTTTAGTAAAACTTCTGTTAGCGGTGAAAGCATATCAGGTCCAGTAACAAGGAAATCGTTTAAAGACTTGCCTTCACTTTTCATAGCAGCATCAAAAACAATTCGGACTTTTTCCGTTTTGTGGGGGTTCATCAGAACGGGAAAATGAGGCAAATACCATAAGTGACGAACATTTTTGCATTCTTCGGGAGTAACAGGAACAGCATAACCTTTTTCGAAAAGCTTCTCCATTTCTTGCCTGTAACGATTTACTAAATTACCGTCTTTTGATTATTTTCGTTCTAAACAAAGTAGCCGTTGCATGGCCATTTTTCTTGAATTTTGTAGTTCTTGAACATCTTCTTTCCATAGAAATTGTATTCCATACTGACTGTTTACAAGTTTTATTGAATTTTTGGCAATGTCAATAGCACGTTGTTCCTCTTTTGATATCTACTTTTTGTTGTGAGGATTGTAGTGCACCAAAGTTCTCTAACTTCATGTGACTTTTTACCAATTCATGTAACTTTTCGTCAGCATTATCGCAGCAAATTACTGCAATTTCTTCAGTTCTACAATTTTTTGAAAGAATTGGGCCATTTACAATAGATTGAATTATTTGTCTAGTTAAAATTAGATTGATGTTATTTTGTCCAATAAGCATTGTTGGTTTTTCTAAATTTTCCAGGTATAAGTCTACCTGTTTTACGTAAGGATTTTTTTTTATTTGCAGTCATATATGTAATCTTGTCATTACTGACTTTTTAAAAATATGGAAGTGACAATTTACCTGTGTCACTTCCCTCTTCGATTTCCCTCACCGATTTCCCTATTCGACTTCCCTCACCGATTTCCCTCACTCTAATTTATTTACCTTTGCTGGCAACAATGAGAACATGTCAGGTAAAAACGTCAAAGCAGTGAATGACACATTTTGGCACGTTTGTTTAATTTTTTTAATATTAAAAAAATTGATTGACTAATCATAATTAATGGTGTGCTTGCAAATAAAATAGTATACAAACCTCGGAGGAAAGTTTTCATTTCTGTCTCGAGATTAATAGTCAATCTCGACGCTTTGCGTCTCGATTGACTATATATAAATCTCTCGACAGTAATGAAACACTTCCCTACTCGGTATGTAATATACTATTAGTACATCTTCTATGTCAATTTTCTGCCAAGGTAAATTTAATTAATTTTGTTGAGATTCTCTCACTCTATCTTCTTTGGGTGTGTCTACTTGATCATTTTTTGGAAAATTATTGGAAATCAATGTGATTTTGGAAACAATATTTGACATATGTTTGACCCATTCTGAAAAATGTTGCAAGTTTTGTTGGTTATCGCTAATTTGTTTCTCCAATAGATAAGAACCCCATTGTTTAAGTAAGTAAATAGGATGGTAACTTTCTTACTCATTTTCCTAAAACATGTCTTTGGTCAACATCATAAAATGCGACTTCTCCGGAAATAACGATTTCAATGTTTCTTACAACGCTGCTGAAGTTTATAAATGATTCAAAAGGTTCAGCTTCGTGAAGATTATTTACTGTTATTAAAATTTCCCCCATGATAACCTCTGGGCGGCCATATTTTTGTTGCAAAATATCTATAATATCGTCTGGGTTTTGTGCAGTAATGAGAAGCATCTCCACGGCCATCTTAGCCTCTCCGGTATAAGACTTTGGTTGAGCCTCAGAACATTCTCTTTTGGTAAAAAAGAGCATACTTCACTGGATAATTTAAATTGTGAATAAAAAATTGGCCATTGCAAGCATGAAGAACCATCAAAATTCATTAATTGTTTGCCACAGGTTTGCCTTGTTAGCATATTATTTATTGATTTGGTGAGCTAGTAAATTTTAGAATTTTCTTGATCTTCTTTTGGTTTTTCAGACGGTTTACCCACTTTTGTATTTGCTGGTAATGGTTTTGTGTTAAAAATTCTTCATGCATTAGCTGTCTCCTCATCAAAATCCTCATCTATATTTGGATCATTATTGAAGCAAGACTGGCTTTGACAATTTGTACATTAGTGTACAAAACAATCCGACTTTCTTACAGCCACAGCTTGCACTACAACACAACCCTTTTTGCAATTGCAAAAAATTAGGTTGAGTACTTTTTCTGGAGCAGGTAGGAGTTAAGTTTTAATTGGCTCAATAGTATTATCTATGAATTCCCAACCCCAGTCTTCTGGGTCCAGTTGATTGCCTAGCCACAATTGAACTTGATGTATACACGATTTAAGTATTGATAAGCAGAAGCATATATTGGAGGAATACATGCGCACTATTTCTGCGCAGTTAATTGAATCATTACGTTTTTCAAATATTTCGAATACTGGTGTTTTATCCCTTTTAAAAAGTGTAGAAGTAGTAACGCAGCCATTGCAGTTATTGCATATAAAAATAAGACATGAGATTGCTTGTTTCTTGCTAATATGTACATGGTGCTCCACAAAAATTGAAACCATAGACAAATATTGATATTTAAGTTTTGTTGAAAATACACGGAACAATAGAATTGTACAACTATTATGTCTTCCTCCAGCATCTGCTTCTGCTTATCAACGCTTATATCGTTTATACTATCAAATTCAATAACTTCAATTGTGTCTAGACAATCATCTAGACCCAGAAGACTGGGGTTGGAAATTTATAGATAATACTTTGGAGCCAATTGAAACTCCCTGCTCCAGAAAAATTACTCAACACAATTTTTGCAATTGCAAAAAGGGTTGTAGTGCAAGCTGTGACTGTAAAAAAGTCGGACTGTTTTGTGCACCAATATGTACAAATTGTCAAGGCCAGTCTTGCTTAAATATTGATCCAAATAAAGATGAGGATTTTGATGAGGAGACAACTAATGCATTTATCTTATACCAATTTCCAGATGTTCAGCAAGAAGAGGCAAAAAAAGCGAAGAAAACATTACTATTAGAGTAGCATATGAAAATTACCATTCAAATTAAAATTTTCTCAAAATCAACAATAATCCGTTCTACTTTGATCATAACGATATTATGCAGAATACGATTTCTTCAGCTTTTGGAAAAGTCTTACATCAGGAATGGTGTCTCGTAGGAAAAAAGTCTAAGAACCATTTTTGTAGAAAATTTTATGCTCTACAACTTTTGTCTGGCTATTTTCACATTATCCCTCCGTTTAGGAGAAAAATCTGAAAAAGGACATTTTTTACCTTTGACCTTGAATAATTTTTTTAGCACACGTGGGAGGGATTTTTGAGATACTATTTATAATAGTGTATTTAAGACCTGTACCAATTTTCAGCTCTATGCGAATTTTTGTTATCTGAAATGTATATTTTTACTGGAGTATATGCAATAACACGTTTTTTAAAACAACTCAATTAAAAAACACACTGCAAATCTTATGAAACACATCAAAAACTGCGAGCGGGATAAGCAAATGGAGTTCGGTTAATCCTCCGCGAGCTAAAACATTGTTGACAGAAGCTCACCTGATCTTTCAGTTGAAGTTATAAGACTGGTCACATGATGGGGTTGTCATTTTTTCGCAACTCCACTACAACTTGTTAGTTGTTATAAATATGACATGTCACATCGTCCTGGAGCAGAATTCTCGACTAAATGAAATAACTGACAGGAGTGACAGGGGAAGGAAAGCGGCGAAAAATTCGCACATGCAGTTACCATCTGATGATATCCGGCGAGCGTACGGCACCGAGGCGCATGTTCTGAGACGTGCGCTAATTCCCTTCTCATATGCCCTACGTCAAAATATCGTATTGTGTTTTGTTTCTGTCGTGAGTTTAGTCTACTTTCCCAATTTCCAGATAGTTTTTCTCTAAAATTCACAAAAGAACGTTTTTTTTTTCCAAAAAAAACAATTTTTTCCAAAAAAACGATTTTTTTTTCTCTATTTCAAAACTTGTGGGGGTTGCGGGGGGAATTATTGGTGGGAACTTCTAAATTCGGATTCAGCGACCCCGAAAACATGAATCAAGCCTAAATTCAGGACTACCATGAATTTTGCAACCTAAAATGATGTATTTCCTGGACTATATATGCATGTACCATTTTCTGATAACAAATTAATTTCTGATAACAAATTTTCAAATTATATTGGTTGAAAACTTTGCTTGTCAGTTAGGGTGAAATCTTTGGGTTCTTTCGGATTTATGAGAGCTTGCGAAAACCTGCACATACTGGCTTTCTATATTTCGTGCAATCTTCCATTGCTTGCATGCAATATTCTGGTGATATCACATCTCCTTGCCTGACCACCCTCACCCCCTCCTGATTTTAATGGGATTGATATTCTCTTCCAGCTGTACTACGAATCTGGCAATTCTGTAGACGTTATGGATGAGGTACCAACCTATCTATATCGTGAGTCAATTCAAGAGTTGCTTCTTTTATTGCCATTAGCTCAATGCTATCGAATGTCTGGTTATAGTATACGAATAAGGGATAGAGGAAATGGCATTTGTTCGCTTTTTGTAAAGTGAGGAGTACTAAAACCTTGGCGAAACCCAGCCTGGTCAACAGGTTAAGCTATTCATTTTAGGTGATAAGTGGCTAGTGATGATTTCCAGCATCACCTTTTATATTTGGGATTATAGCGATATGGGACAGTCGTTCCAATGATGTGAGTGCTAATATCTTTTTCAGAAAAGCGAAACTACGAGGTTTTTATTTTATTTCCCTCGTATTTCTGCACTCTCTTAAGTCTCTTACATGGGAGGTTAAATAATCTTTCCCTAGTCCTTTCAGTGTCTTTTCCTTATTTCAGCTGGCATTCCATCATCTCTTGGTGATCTGTCGTTTTTCAAATTGTTGATGGTCTTTTTACGATATCCAGTCTCTCCGAAACTAACATTTTCTATAGAAAGTATAGAAACTTTCCACAGCTGAAGTGATTTTGTTTTTGTCCATCCTCATTTTTTTATGCGCATGATTTTTTTTGGAACTATGTATGTCTTAGTTTCACGCATTTTAGTTCATTATTCTTTTATATGATTCTTTTAAAGTGTCATCCTTTCAATCCTTAAAAATTGAATTCTTCCTTAGTTGTTACTGATTTATTTTCAGTTTCGTTTTGGAATCGCAAAGTTTTCAATTTTTGTTTTAAATCAGCTTCTATCTATTTTTACCGTGAAGAAAAGTGCCAGCCAGGGTAGGTAGATGAGGATACAAGACTAAATTATTAGGTATGGAAAATCTTGTAGCTTCAACTAGACAAATAACTTGCAATAAGAATATTAGATACTTTTATGATGAATTTCTTGAAATCAGTGAAAATGCGACTTTATAAGATGCAAATGTCGCAGGAGTTAACAGAAGATGATCATAAACGCCGTCTAGCATCTAAAATATGTAACAGTGATAGTTACTCTAGATAAATACAGGGTAAGAGCAAGAACAGTTGAAGGACGATCCAGAAACATGCATCTAAAATCAAATTTAGCAGGACTGCTTCCAAGATACAGAAAAATTATTTGATGGAACTTAGAACTAATACAACCAAGATCATATGCTGGGCACAGACAGAGTTTGCTGGTAAGAATTCGGACAGGCCTAAAGATGAATGATAAAGGGCTGACGAAGAAGATTAGTAGAAACAGTTTAGAAGGTGCCACTCTGCGGTTCGTCGTTCCTATAAAAACAACAATAGAAACAAACTTCTGCTGTCCTGAATCTGACAACAGTCCTTTAGGTTATTTAGCGTGGGAAGGATTTTTTCCGGGAATGTTTAGTAGGTGTGTTAATAATAGACCCTGAGATACGGACTGTTTAGTGGAGTCATCTGTTTTTTGTTTGGCATTTTGAGGGCTGAATTGAATGTGGCGAGTTAGCTGATGAGAATATGGATGATTTTAATGCCTGCTCCCCATTGGAAAATTTGTAAAAAAGAAAAATTCATTTGCATGACGCCTTTTTTTAATGATCTTAAATTGTCTGCCTTTTGAATAAAAGATTGACATTGATAAATAATTAACCCATGAAAAATTCCAGATGCTTTCGATGGCTGAAAAAGTGGGGATGAGTGTCAACTTGCAAGAGAAAAGTATAGAACCTTCAGCAATTTCTTTCTGTCTGGCAATCGAGAGAATAAAAGGTTTTGTTTTAAAAATAATGCTGAAATATCGCCAGACGGTAATCACAGTTCGAAATTAAGTTTTCAGTGAAAAATTCTGTGGACATTTCGAACGGGGAGCAAGCAATAAAGCCACTTATATCCTCATCAGCTAACTAGTAACTAGCCACATTCAGCCCTAAAAATGCCAGACAAAAAAAAAATGACTACTAAACAGTCCCTATCTTCAGGGTCTATAGGTATTTTGAGTTTGGGTGGACATCCATCACCTGGTACATTATCAGAAATCTGCTCACATTCCTTTATCATCGATTTCAATGAGATTTTCACTTTTTATCATCGAAGGTTCTACAGGAAGGGGTAATTATTCCTCTCCCCTATTACTTTATTCTCTTGTTCCACCGAGAAATATTGAAAATACTATCGAATACCCGGTGCGTGCTACTACGCTAAAAAAAAAAAAAAAATTGTTTATTTGTAGGAAAAATAGGAAATTTTGTTTGGGAAAAGTCGGGAAATCGACTTTGTGAATGGACCGAATGTGCCTAATGCATTTTTCTAGTGGAAGTAGAAACATTTTTTGTGTTTTATATAGATATATAGATTATGTAAAATGAGTATTATTGATAAGAAACAATATATTG